AAATGTATAATGCAAAACCCATAAGGCAGTTTTTGTATTCATCGTCACTGTAAACCAATACTCGAATCCAAGATGTAAACGACCAGGTATACACGCTTTCTCCACGATCAACAAGATATAGGAAAACAGAAACAACAGAGAATTATACTAACCTGTTCCTTCAAGTAATCCCGAAGATGATCAGAAGTCCATTTTCTCGGCAAATGAACTAAGCATTTGCTAAGCCCATTATCCCTTCCGTCATTGCCGTCCTCATCGTCATCGTCTACAACAGCCTCCGTCATCATGACCTCCTCTTCCTTAACTTCCTCCTCCACTTTCATCACCTTCTTAGCCCGCTCCGATGTTGGATCCCACGAGTTATCAGGGCGTTTCCGTAGCTCCTCCTCGCCATGAGCGTAGCGACACGTACTTCCATGACTACACGACCCCGAATGACGCCTAAAGTAAGAGCATAAACTGGTTTTCCAAAGAGGATTCAGAGACGGATCCGGCTTCGGATTTGCAGTATCAGAATCTGTGTCTGTTCTCTTCCGCTTTTCCCCTGCAACGCTAGCTTCAGTGGATTGGCAATCAGATTGTTCCAGTAAACATTCAGCCGGTAGCGCATTAGTCTGTGGGAAGTTATCAGTATTGTCTTGGGCGTCCATCGACGTTTGGAGATGATCTTCGGAAGTTTCCAACGCTTCGGTTACAAGGGTTTCTTCAATTGAAGAGGCCGCCATTGGAGCTAATCAAAATTTCAGAAAATCAGTTCCTTCAGTTGCTCCTTTATGTTTGGTTCGTGAAGTTGCAGTGAAAGTAGTCTTCGCTCTTAGCTTCTCTCGTTTTGTTGTATTTTAGGGCAGTTTCTAATCAATAATCTGATTCGGTTATTCCGACGTGACGTTCCCGTTTTCCCGACTCGTCGAAATTTTCTCGCACACGTCTAATTATATATATATATATATATATATATATATCTAATTTCTTGCAAGTCCGTTTTTTAATACTAAATTACAATTTTAATCTTTGTTATTTATTATTAAAAACCATTTTTAAATTTTTTATCATACCCTAGACAATAATTCAAACATTTTACGCTATATGGACTATGTTCTAACTTTCTCCAACACTCTCTATGAACCAATTTTGTAAAATTCGATCTCTAAAATTTTTCACAAAATTAAATATTATATGATTTGCTTATACCGAAAAATAGCTAAAATTAGTGATATATAAAGCAAGAATCTTGAACATTTATAAGAGAATACAAGGTTTTAAATTTTCGAACTTCTTCTAATGCTTGAATGGAGGCTATTACCAATGGGTTTAGACTTGATCGGTCTAAACTTTAGGTTAACGAAAACCCAAACTTTATCTATTAACAACGGGTTTTCGTTTAGCCTGATCAGTCCAAACTTCAGGTTAACGAAAACCCGAACCAAATCTATTTGATAATTAGACTCGACAGTCAGTAAATATGAGGCGTGCTAAGAGAAAAGAAGAGTAAACAAGATAGGGCAAGAAGGCATTCATTCAATCCAAAAGCACTGTTGATGGAAAGTCAGAAGCACAATTAAATGCCTTTGGGTAGAGAGAATTGTGTGTAAAATGATGATCAGAAACAGAAAAGTACTTAAAATTCAGAAACAACTGTAACTAGAAACGAGTTTTCACATAAAATGTTTGCCTACAACAAACAAAGATTGGGCAATTTTACCTGTTCTTGACAAATCAGAAAGCAGCAGCAGCATAATATATTGAGTAAAAAGCCAAAGAAAGCGCAGAGTGAAACTATGCAAACATTTATTAGCTACAGTTATCAGAAGAACAACAACAAGACCACTGAAGAAGAATGAGAAGAAGAAGAAGAAGAAGAAGAAAGAAAGAAAACCAACCCAAAAAGTAGGCTCTGTCAAATCAGAGAGTTTTAAATGATTCTTCAACTTCAACACCCCATAACTGCACAGTTGTAGACAAAAACCCCAACATGTTCCTTCCCTCCTACTATCTTCCAATCCAAACTTCCATTATTAACTCCCGACTTTGGACACCAAGAGCTCAGCACAATACATTCTCCTTCTGGCCCTCTTTGTCCCCCCACAACCAGAAGCTTTTCCCCACACGCTTTGAAAGCAAGCCCCCATCCATTCGAAGAATCCGCCCTCACCGGCAGTCTCCCCAACACATTCCATGTCTTCCCCACTTTCTCATACTTCATTACCATGTTCGTTAAATGCTCCACTGCATATAATTCATTCTCCACAACTGCAACGAGCGGGGGAGCCTGAGCTCCTTGGTTCACGTACGGATACATCCCTTCGATTTTCCTCCATTTCCTCTTCTTTAAATCATACTCCTCTCCACATGTTAGAGATACTGTAGGACTTGACATCCCTCCAATCACGTAGAATTTCCCATCCATGAAGAATCCCGAACAGGACCGACGTGGGACGTGCATGTCGGGCAACATTTCCCACCGACCCTTGGATGAGTCGTATAGTTCGGCTGATTTTAGAACGTTTCCCTTTTTATCACTCCCACCTGCTACAATGGCTATTGAACCAAGGCTGCCAGACCCAAATAAACAACGAGGCTGGTTCATTCCTCGACATTTTACCCAACAATGAGGAAAAAACGCATATTTCCATATAGCGAAATCATAAAACTCCCTACCGAAAACCAATAACTCGCTACCTACTGCTAAGGACTCCTTATCAGCATGGTTGAAACACTCATCACAAGGCATCTTAGGCAATGCCATCCATTTATTTCTATCAGGATCAAAAGCCTCCCACTCTTTTAAATCACAAACCAGATATACCCAATACTCCACATTCTCTACCTTCTTCCTCAGTTCAGTCAAGGCACCACTTCTAATCTGCTTGTTAAACCTTGAGTTAACACATGATAGAGAAGCATAATCCGACCTTCGTACGTACGCAAAGCAATTCATTGCTACATCATCATTGAGCCCTGGGAGAAGTGAATCATTTGATATACGCCGACGCTGTGAACCATCAACCGTTCTTTCTATCAAATCTACATTCGAAACATAACTTACTTCTTCATCCTCCATCTCCTCCAATAAGGTATTACAACAAACTTTGTTTGTCAAAGTCAGCAAAAATTTATATAATCAAAACAAAAGAATCAACAAGCTATACCGATAAATAGCACCAATCTTAAAATGTAATACGCTGGCGGCCTCTGATTATCCTCCCAATACCCAGGGAACAAATTCCGATCCTTGAAAGCAGCAACCAGTAAACACTTATTTCCTTCTCCCATTAATTTAATGAAACAGTGTGTGAATATGTGAAGAATCTATACTCAGAATATTCCATTTATACGATATTCGTGATAATACGCGCTCGAAGTTATACCAATTAGAGAAATCCTCGCAGTCCTCGCAAACAGATTAAGAAAACGAATACGCCAAACCCTCGAAAATTCAGTAGTAATAAAATCACCAATAACCTCCACGAACGATCCCAATTTCTCTCCGGCAGCCAAATAGAACGATCTGGAATTTTTTTAAAGAGAGATTAGCTAGAAATCGCAAACCAAGGATGAAATTAATTCGTACAGGAGAAGACAGATAACAATCATAAAAGACTCCGGAGTTCTATAACCTTAGGGATTAAAAGCCTAGTGCATGTAAATGGATCGAAATCAAAAGAAAGAGGAAGAAGGGAAATTAATTAAGCAGATTAAAAGGAAGAGAATTGAAAGGGAAAAAGGAAATCCAGACCTGGATTTGGGGAAAGTAAGAGGGATCAATTACTTGAGTCTCGGATGAACGCGGTTGCCTGAAATAGTTGCCGACGAACATGTCGGAAGGAAAGCTGGGGAAAAAGGAAGAAAAAGGAAGAAAGAAGAAGCAGAGTGGAGTCAGCCTTCGCAAACGAAAACAGCGGTACCAGATCAAATGGGTGGGGCGGCCCCGTGTTGTGCAAATGTGTTGTAATTTATAATTTATCTATATATATAAAGAGAGTGGAAATTATATAAATAATAATAATAATAATAATGGTAAATTATCTCAGATATCCCCGTACTTCTGGGTATTTGTACTTTCACCCCCCCTCTTTTCCTATTTTGCATCATGGTTTGGTCTTTTTCTTTTTCTTTTTCTTTCTATTTTCATTTTTACACTTAAATTAACTAATTTAATTATGTTACGTTTTTAATTTATAATTAAATTACTATTTTTAATTTTTGTCAAACATAAATTTATAACATATTTTGCTAAACCAAACATTATAATGTCTTAAATTTGTTACAATTTTAAAGTTTTAATTTTGTTTCTATACGTTTTAAAATCTCTTAAAATACCCTTCACATTAATTACGAGAATTAAAATAATAGTGGGTTGACAAAAAATTTTAATTTCTGAAACTCTAAGCAATACATAAAATCCTTCAAAAACAAGGAATGAAAAAAAAAAAAATAGAAAAAACAAATAAATAAATTAATGCAAGAGCCCAAATCCATATTTTTAAAATGCATTCTAGGGAGAAAAAAAATAATATCTACTAGTTGTGGGTTTAGACGGTTACCAATGATATCAAACCCAAATAATAGATTGTGTGCTAACTAGGACCCTGAAACTCCGTAGGATGGATTGTGTACCATATTTAACTCTGTAGGATGGATTGTGTACCATATTTGTTAGTTGTAGGCTTAGGCTATGACAAAGGGTATCAGAGCCAAACAACGTACAGTGTCAGCAAGGACGCTGGGACTCCAAGAAATGCGGATTGTAAAATCAGAATAATGACAATATGTATGACCAAAACAAACCATATCTGAAAGTGGCGAATCTGGACGGTTACTGTAACAAAGTTGACACGTTTTCACATTTCGAGTTAGGGAATTATAATAAATGAAATTATATTTTGAGAAAGTAAAAAAAAACAGAAAATATAATATTTGATAATCAGTACTTGAAAAAGGATGGTACAATTGGGGGTAGGGGGGCAGACCCCCTAACCCCATGATTGAGAATTGGAGAGTACATTAATTTGTAGGGTTTTAATGCAAAAAGGTAAAAGAATCTAAAAGAAATATGTAAGTACACAAAAGGGTCACCTTCTTCACTACAACAAATTGTACTTATTTCTCTCTTGTGAAAAGTCTTAAAAACCAACCCCATGGTTTCCCCTTGCCCATCAAATTGCACAACACCCATGAAGAAGACTATAATAAAATTATGGTCAAGAGCTATATAGGGAGGCACATAGAACACCTAATCCATCTACATTTCAATTTACACAACAAATCCACACTCTAAATGGACGAATTACGTGAACCCACGTCAAAATCCTCGTATTTACTCCCGTTTTCTTCTGGTTCTAAGTTTGATTGTTTGGACTTGCGCTTGCACCAGCATAGATATTGTGGGATTGGACCTTCGTCTCCGATCACCCAGCTATGCTTTGCAATGGCGTCGAGTGTCATTCTCTGGCTCGGGTCTGCAAGAAGAGGCTTTTAAGTATTCAACGGGGGCGAGTTTTCTGACTGTGGGACGAAAAATCTTGGAGATAGAAGACAGTACCTTTACATAGAATTCCTTCCAGTAGATCCCTCAACTGGGGATTCATATCATCCGGCAGCAGTAATGGATTATTGACAATCTGGAGAAGAAATATATTGTCCCATTTAGCATCAAAATGCATCTAATGAAAGCGATAATACCACAAATAAACACTTTCCCCACTTTATCATAGGTGTCTTGCAGTGTCTCCCCAAGAAATGGATATCGACCGAGTATCATACAGTACAGAGTCACCCCGACTGCCCATGTGTCGGCTACTTTTCCATGATAAGTAATACCTAAAAACAGAGAGAGTTAACCATTGAGATATGTCGACCATAACCCAACCTTACTAAGCATCAAAACGAATATAATCGTTAGACCTAAACAGCATTCCGGTGCTGTAAAAACAGGAGTCCCAGGAGAACGGCGAAGCTCGTCATTTTCGTCCTGCAAATGAAAAATGAATATTACCCTTACAGGTATCTCAATGTGAAGAGATGAAGGAAGTCCTTTGATTACCTCAAAAACCTGGCTAACACTGAAGTCCCCTATCTTCACTGTACCGTCGCGAGTTATCAACAAATTATCAGGTTTGATGTCACCATGCACTATATTCTGCAAACAATCAGCGTATATGCAATCAAGTGGTGACCCTATTTTTCACTAAGACTCCGCAATATTTCAGCGACGCCCAGAGCAGATAACATAGGATAATGCAAACTGAGATCAACATGCAGTTTCTACTTATTGAACAAGAGGCGAACACTTCGCCTGGAAGGTAAATGAAAAAATAAGCTACTGTGATCAAAATCTGGAACATACATGAGCATGAAGATACATCAGCCCTGAGACGATATCACGTAAGTATTTCCGAGCAGTATTTTCGTCTAGACCACATGGTGGATCAGAACCCTCACAAGCCCATTTGCCTTCCACATATTCAAGAACTAAAACAAAGAATGACTGCTCACGTAAAGGTTATATTCGAGCAAAAGTACTTTTGAAGATTCGAGCAATTCCATAAAGAAAAAGAAAGATGCCATAATACCCATATAAAAGCGATCGTCATCTGGATCATCTATCACTTCAAACAGATTTACTATGTTTGGATGTTTCAACATTTTCATGATTAAAACCTGTAAAAAAGAAGATTCTTAATTCACAACTCAGCAACGTTGATCCTAAGAGAATGAGAAAATATGCACATACAACAAAGCTTAGCCAAAGAGTCGTAGAAGGAAACGTGTGTCAATGAGAAAGAACTCAAGCATACACTACATGCAAATAAGTGTTCATTTTTTTCTGTTAGTAAGACATGCAAACAAGAGTTGAACATTCATATCCAATAAAAATTTTAAGATACAACACACCATTTGACAAATCTAGTCACCTTAGCGGTTCATGCCAAAAAGACTATATCATTAACTACGAAAAGACACTTGTTTAATATGCATAGCAATCAAACATCGAAATGAACCGTGGTGTCTGGGGCAACTAATTGAAACTTTCCCATTACCTCCCGAAGAACATCAGTCATAGCTGTCTCTGAAGGAGCAACTCGCAGCTTCGACAAATGAGACTTGTGAAATGCCTACATGTATGTATGACAGCAATTTTATTTTCAAGAACCTCTTGATATCTCAGCCCTCCAGCAAACATTGAAGTGACAGAAAAAACATCGGGACATGGTATAATCTCCCCACTGCCAAATTATTTCAAGTGCATAAACCGAAGCTAAAAGAGATTTCAGAAAGAACACCTTAATTGCATAGTATTTTCCATCAACACGACTTCGATATAGAACCTGTATACATATGAAGAGGAAAAGGCTTAATTAATAATATCAATGGAGAAAATATGATAAAATGATGTTATCAGAGAATGCTTACCACTTTCCCATAACTACCAGAACCAATCTTACACTCACGAACATATTCATTGACCGTCTTGTTTCCATTTTCATCCTGAACACATCAAGCAACTAATGAAGATTAACATCAAACAACCAATTAGAGGTAATTATTGGGCTGACATTTTCAATAAGACAGGTTCATAGCTTCATAAAAACTGGGGGGAACGGAGAGACGTTGAATCTATTCCAATAATTTAATTCAAGGAGCCATGTTAAAATAATAAACTCAAAAGAAAATGTGCTTTGTGTGTTTTATCAATAAACTGTAAACGATCCAAGTACTTCTCTAGCTGGCGATACTCAAAACCAAAAGTCAGTCCGGTTTCACTCCATACTTCAATGACCAGACTAATCGTTTTCGAAAGAAAAAAGCCGCTTACTGGACGTTCTACAATAATGAAAAGACGCTTCTGAAATTACAAGAAGCAAAAGGTCATCAACACAGAACAGTACAATAAGTTTCCCTCCATCTGCGAGCAATAGAAGATATTCAAAGCTACAGTTCAGCTTATGATTTCCCTTCTATAGTCAAACATAACCAAACTACATCCAGGCATTGTTCCAGAGCAAAGTCTATAGGAACAAAATATAAACATTTCTGTGCTAAAACCTGTTCAGGAAGGTCAAAATTCTTCTTAAAACATATTCAGCAATAACTCTTAGAATATCAATAAGTCCATATCCAAATTAACAGCCTTATAAGTTGCAAAGTTCAAATTTTAATTCACATAACTTAAGGACATATTAATTACTACATTCACCTCTGAACGAATAACTGTGTTTGTCTCCTTGACAGGAAAGTGCCGGCAAATCAAACCGTTCTGCGTTCTATGCCGCAAAATCTCTTCTGAATTTTTGACACGGCAATGCGTGTCAGTTTCTTCTTCATGTGTAGTACTGGCCATATCATCTTGAGACGAGCAGCTTTCTTCATCTTCCATATCTTCACCCAACAAAAAATCCTCAGAAAGGCGGTTGAAGCCAGAAGCAGGTCTCAGCAATCTTTTGGGTTTTTTTGTAAACCCGAAGCAACCACAACAGCCCATCATTTTGGCTATAGAGAAACCTTTTTTGTACATGAGATCCTGAAAACCTCAAATTTGAAGTAGTTATTGAAATTATCAGCAACAAAACAACCCTATCCTGCAAAGAGAAAAGAGAAAAATGGCCTCGAATTCAGTAGATTATAATCCATAGACGACTCACGAAATGAAGGAGAGTCTATCATGCACCAAAACTATATGAATTAAAAGCTGTTCAGAATTATTGAACTACTGAAATGGGATAAAGAAAAAACAAAAAATTTTGGAAGCGCATTATTCCAGCTTTGAGATATGAACTGTACCTGATTTAAAAAGCGAAGAAGGGCCAGCAAGCCCGTGTCCGGTATGCTATTCCAACGGATGCCATTCGGCCCGATGAAAGAAACAGCTGGTAGTAGGGAAGGGGTTGCAATTCAGACCTAACATCGTCTTATATGGGCAACCAGTGCAGGCTTGAATCCCAAACCTTTACACGTTGACCATTTACATAATTAGAAAACATAGGTAAGGGTAAAAAGGAAAAAATAAAATAAAATAAAATTAAATTAAATTAACTGCAAACGTCATCAAGCACAACAACAAATTCAAAGCTACACCCATATAATTGTAGTAGAAAATCCAAAACCCTTACCTCCTTAATCAAATAAGCTGTTAAAAAGAAGACTGTCAAGCCAAAAACCCCAAGGGCATCCCCTTTTCAAATTCAGCAATCCCAGAGGCTCGCGATAAGTACTGGGACGAAATTCAAACGCCCCAGATGAACTAATTAGCGAAATCAAGCACAAGTAATAGAAGAACAAGGTAGAATCGCCCAGAGGAGGGATGATTTCAATCGAAACCCTAGCGATCGAGGAGTTAAGAGATGAAATTAAAACCCTGGGGTTAATGGGGAAGGAGACGATGTGGGGGAATCGAGAGTGTGAAATGGAGTTGGGTGACAGATTATTGAATTGGGGGAATTTACAGGGAAATGGAGAAAGGGTATAATGGAATTGAGACAGAGTGGGAGGAATTTGGTATGCTGTTTAAAATAGGAAAAGACCTAACAGAGAAGACGCGTCCGACGACGACGACGACGACGACGACGACGAGAAACAGGTCCAGACAAGCGGGACAGATGATTTCCCTTCCTCCATCAACGTCCAAAAACCCCAAGCTTTTAACTATTTTCAGTTGCTGTTTAACTCTAAATTCTTAAATTTAAATTTTAGGTTTAATAAGTTTATTAATTTGTAAGATATTTGTTAATTTTTTTAGTTTAATTTTCGTTAAAAATATATAGACTAAATTAACCTTATTATTTTATTTAAAAAAAATTCTTAAAATTTTCACAAATACCCTTAAAACTTTAAAAACAAATTATTAATATCCTTTTAATTTGAAAAAAAAAAAAAAAAAAAAACTCTAACCATTATTATTATGATTAAAAAATACCATAAAAATTTAAATTATCACCTTAAAAAATTTCCGTCAATATATTGACAAAATTCATATATCGTTCCTAGATTATTTTTCTTTTAATGTTATTTTTTTAGAGTTGATTAATATTTTTTAAATATTGTACTAGGATAAGACTGAGATTATTTTTGAAGTTGGTAAAATAGTTATTAATTAAAGAGTACTCATTTAAAATTAGTCTTGAAAGTATTGTTTTAAATTTTTTTAAAAGATTAAGAGTATTGTTTTTAGTATTTTTTGAAAACTCAATCATATTATTAAAACTTAAAAATTTGTGAATATTTTTAAATCTAAAATTCAAATAATATTTTGAATAAACATATCCTACAGGTGGACAAAATTGAAAATATTTCTAAATTATAATTTAACCGTATGTCATTTATTCCAATTGAATTTTAGATCGTATTGAAAATTATTTCAAAAGGTCAAGATTTCCCGCTTAATTTTATCCAAAAGTAAATAGTTATAATAAGTGGTTTAAATATTTTAAAATTTGTATAATTTATTTGTTAAAATTTTAAAATATTAAACACGTATAAGATATCAAACAAAAAATATTAATGACAAGCGTGAAACTCAATTTTAATAGTTTATAATTGGCTTTATTTTTCATGAATTTGAAATTCATGTCCTCTCTTCACTTTTACTTCATTGTAAACAAACAAGATATTTGTCTGGTTTTTGTTTTTATGTTTTACTGTTTTTGGACAGGAAATTAACCCTCCATTAAAAAAAAAACACTTTATTTGTTATTATTATTATTATTTTTTTTTTGAAAGTGGTTTAAAACTAGGAAGGTAAAAACTTATACCATAAATTCTTATATTTCATTATCTGATTTTTGGTCAATTTTTTTAACTAAAAAAAGATTATTCAATTTTATTGAATTTCATTATCTTTTTAAAACTCTACCTTAACTGTGATCAAATGGGTGGGGCACCAGAGGAATTTCATTATCTTTTTATTATTTTGTTTTATGGTAGGGTTGGAAAAATAAAAAGAAAAAAAAAATAGTTTTCCATAAATTTAAAATTTAAAGGTATCCCACATTGCTAGATTTGATATTAAAGGTAATCTTTATAGGTTGGCATTGCGTCACATGCAACCGCCGAGCTTGGTAATGTGAGCTTGTAACTCAATTGGGGGCATTAAAGTGGTTGGAGGTTGGCTTCAGCCCATTGGGTATAGGGTCCATGGGGCGAATTTCTGGCCTGTCCGTTCTAAGTATGGAGTTGGGCCGTTGTGCTTGGGCGAAGGCCCATGGGCAGCATCCTTTAGAGGATGGAGGAAACCGCGTGAGGCTGGCTTCACAGAGCAGCGTAACCTCCCTCTCCTGTCGGTGGAAGGGTAGCGGGCCGGTTCTCTATGGCCCAAATAATACTTGGTGGGGTAGTCCTCAGCCCGACAACTACTTTTTCTTTTTCTACACTTTTTTTTATTTCATTTCATTTCCCTTGAACTTTGAAACACTTTTTTTTCCTTGAATAAAGTTATTAAACCGCGGTTAAAAGTTAGAATTTTTAAATGGAAGGTTCGAAGTGTTCAATTAATACACGGTTCTGAATCTCTCTTTAACTCCCTCCCTGATTTTTCGTCGCCGGAGCCGGAGCTCGGCGGCCTGAAAGCTCCAATTCCCTAACATGGCGACCGTCGGCGTCCTAGCATTGCAGGGATCTTATAACGAGAACATCGCAGGCATTTTCTCCTCCTCCTCCTCCTCCTTCTCTATCGCTAGCTCCATCTGTAATAGGCGTTTCTACGGATATTTCATTTCATTTCGTTATCTTTTTCTTATTACGAGTTTTCGGCCTTAATTGATTGTGGCGCGCAGCTTTGAGAAGGCTCGGAGTGAAGAGCGTAGAGATAAGGAAGCCCGAGCAGCTTCTTGATGTAGCTTCTCTGATTATTCCTGGAGGGGAAAGCACCACCATGGCCAAACTGGCGGAGCTCCATAATTTGGTTTGTTCCTCTTTTCTTTAGACGTTGCTACATCTGTATTCGTCTTTAAAGATTTTCTTTAGTTTGGCCGAAATACATGAAGAGCGAACACGTGAGTAAGCGGAAAAGTTGCAAGATCTTGCATTCAATCGTGAACCAAACAGAAATGTAATTTTTAATTTAAAATTGTTGAACGCTATTTTATCGGGTTAGACATACCAACATCCCAAATGTATGAAACGATCGTCTGTGTAAGTCTGGATTGGTTAATTTCTGATAATACATAGAACTAAAATCGAGTATAGTATTTATATTGTGGTATTTTTGTGTATTGCAGTTTCCCTCTCTGCGAGAGTTTGTCAGAATGGGGAAGCCTGTCTGGGGCACCTGTGCTGGGCTTATCTTTTTGGCAAACAAAGCTACTGGTAGACTTCGTTCCATTTTCCCTGAATAAAATGCTTGAAATGTGTTTCAAACTTGATTGGATACAGTGTATACATGTATTTTCAGGACAGAAAACCGGTGGACAGGAGCTTGTTGGAGGGCTGGATTGTACCGTTCACAGAAACTTCTTTGGCAGTCAGGTAACTCTGGTTTCTCATGTTGGGTTGTGCTATCAAAATGGATGAGCAATATCTGGTAAACAAAAGAACCTTGGGAATTAGTACAGAACATGCTTAAGGATATTAGGAATCAAATTTGCATGAAGGCGGCCTCTGCCTGTGTTGTTTTGTTGCAGACATGGATTTGTCCCATCAAAAAATGACTTTGTATCAACTCAAAAAATGGCTTTGTCCCATCAAAAACTCAATACCGGGTCTAAATTCTCCGTATGATAAGCATCATGAGAACCAGTGAAATGAAGTTTGTGAGAACGAGTGCTAACGAAAACGCTGAGCCTCAAAAGGGGGTGGATTGTGAGATCTCACATCGGTTGGAGAGGGGAACGAGAGTAGACGCGTTTTAAAAACGTGGAGGGAAAAGGGTAAGGAAAAACTAAAAGAGAACAATATCTGCTAGCGGTGAGTTTGAGTTGTTACAAAGTTTTAATTGTAGTGTGGAATTCAGAATGCAGAGAATCCTCGATGGTTTTTGTTGTACATAAGCTGATCCAAACACAGTTATCCAATGACTTTTGCTTAGATTTTGTTTCCGAGTGTTCAGTTTCTTTTCCTGAATACCAGTATTACTAAAAAGTATAGCAAGCCCCTTTAACTTGTTGTTGAAGTTCGCTTTATTTTCACTGTCAATCTCTTGAGTTCAGATTTTCCTAATTTAAGAAGATCATGATTATCTAGCTTCAAAGCTTCTAAACGGAGCTATCAATTCCAGAGCTTGTGTCCACGGAAGGCGGTCCAGAAACATTCCGTGGAGTTTTCATCCGAGCTCCTGCAATTCTTGTGGTGGGGCCAGAAGTACAAGTGCTGGCTCACTGCCCTGTCTCTTCAAACTCTACCTTGCATTCAAATTCCTCTGGTGAAGGCAAAGAGGTTTGTTGTTGTTTTCTTTCATCATTCCTTCATCTCGTATAATCTATACACTGCTATTGCCACTAATTTGTACGTCTAAATGATTGTTATCTGTATACATGAGGCAAAAGTTTCAGACTATAAGCTGATCTATCTTGTGAGATCTCACCAGTTGGGATGAGAACGAATCATTCTTTATAAAGGTGTTGAAACCTTGAGGGGAGCCCGAAAGGGAAAGCCTAAATAGTATAATATCTGCTAGCGGTGAGATTTTACTTTTACAAATGGTATTAGAGCCAAGTTTCGATCCTTGGGAATGGAGTTTTGCTTTTGTGTTCGTTTTCCTTCTATCTCTCGACTCTGGTTTGAATATCTCAGGAAAAAGGTGCAGAAGACAAAGTGATTGTAGCAGTCCGGCAAGGGAACTTGCTCGCAACTGCCTTCCATCCCGAACTAACATCAGATAATAGATGGTATAGTGTAGTTTTAGCTTGAAATACATCACATCACTTAATAAATATTATGATAATCATCTCAATTGAGTTAATAACGATGAATTATGCAGGCACAGTTACTGTCTGAAGATGGCTGGTGATGTTGAAGGATCTTCAAGTAGCATAGCAAGCATAGGAGTTGACAATTCGAGACTCGAACGATCGAACATCGACCTTCCAATTTTTCTTTAGCTTAAACCAAATGAACCCCTCCTTCTCAACTCAGTTTTACATTTTTCAAGTTTCATTGCAGGTTCAGTCTTTTATCTATTCTGTAATTTGCACCATGCTTTATCCTCCTTATAGGAGATGCTTCACCAAAGTACTCACTTTCTCGACGCATTATTTTAAATAACAATATTTTAATTATAATTTTTTTTTTTTTTTTTTTTTGAAATTATAGTTTAATTAAAAAAAGAAAATTACAATTTTTAATTTTATTTAATTAAAAATTGTATTTTTTATTTTTTATTTTTAAATGCCTGGTTGTTTAATTTTTAAAAAATTTAAAACAATTAAAAAAAAATGTAGAATCTACCTTGAAATAATTTATTTTAAATTTAAATTGAAGATTCTAACCCAAATAAAAATAAAAAATAAAAAATAAAAAATAATCAAGTTCGAGTATTAATAATGAGTCCATTCTTATTATCATTTTTTGGGCCGATTGTACAAATCGGCCCAACGGAGGGCCCAAAAACACAAAATCATGGTTAAATCCGTCGTGAAAAAAAACCCAAACACCGAACTTTCACAATGGCTTCGACCAAAAAATCAAATGCCGAAATCAAGAGCAAAGAAGCGGGAACGTCGAAGCCAGCTACCAAAACCAAAACCCTCAACGCCAGAAAATCAGATAAGAACGATTCGAAGAAGAAGAAGAAGAAGAAGAAGATTTACAGCAATAAGCATTCGAATAATGGCTCTGTGAAGGAGGACGACGCCGTATTTATTTCTGCTCCAGGTTCCGCGTCGGAAGAGGAGGATGCCGGCGAGGACAGAGCCGAAACCAGAAGTAAAGAAGCCAAGACCTCGAAATCGAAGGTAGGAAAATGGAACCATGTGAAGAAAGAAGAGAACGGATATGCAGAACAAGAAGAGGAAGAGGAAGAGGCCCATGAGAAGATTTATACATTCCCTATGCAGCGGATCAAGAAAATCACGAGGGATGAAAATTCTGACTTTCGTATAAATCAGGAAGCTCTATTTCTTGTCAACAAAGCTACGGTAAGCCCTCACCACTTCCCCACAGGTGCAAGCACCCTAAATTGTATGATTTTAGCTCTATTTGAAGAATTAGGTATTATCTCGTTTGTGGAAGATGGGAGTTATTTGTTTCTAAAATTTGATCTGCTTATGTCTGCAAACTTCTTCACTGTTGTAGGAGATGTTTCTTGTGCAATTTTGCAAAGATGCGTATGCTTGCTGTTCTCGGGATCGCAAGAAGTCTCTTGCTTACAAGCATCTATGTATTGTTTCTACTCTCTATTCTAATGCTGCAGTCTTATCTTTATTCGTTGTTATAGTGCATAAAATGCGATAACTTCGTACCATTATTATGCTCAATGCTTATTTGCATCACTTGCTTGGATTCTCACTGTTTTACCTTCACATTTGTTGTCTGGTTTTGATCTAAAAAGAAGGATAGACCTGTGAATTATATCATAAGTATATTTCATACCAATTATGTATTAGAAAAGGGAAAGCTTGAACCTGAAATAGTAGAGGGGATTACAACTCCACTAGCGTATTCCCATCGTGACAGAGCTTTAACATTTATTGTGAGCTGCAATGTTTTTTTTTTTTTTGTAACGGCCCAAACCCACCGCTAGCCGATATTGTCCTTTTTGGGCTTTCCCTCATATGTTAGGGAGAGGTTTCCACTCCCTTGTAAGGAATGCTTAGTTCCCCTCTCCAACCAATATGGGATCTTACAATTCATCCCCCTACGGGAGATGGTGTCCTCGCTAGCACTCATTCCCCTCTTCAACCGACGTGGGATCTCATAATCCACTCCCGTTCGGGGGTCAATGTCTTCATTGACATATTGCCCGGTGTCCACCCTCCTACGGGACTTAATGTGGGATCTCACAATCCATCCCCTTCGGGGCTTAGCGTCTTCGCTAGCACACCACTTGGTGTTCACCGCCCTTTGGTGTCTGGCTCTGATATTGTGGGATCCCACATTGGTTGGAGAGAGGGAACTATACATTCTTTATAAGGGTGTGGAAACTTCTCGCAGTAGACATATTTTAATTACCTTGAGGGGAAGTCCAGAAGGGAAGACCCAAAGAAGACAATATCTATCATCGGTGGACTTGGGCCATTATATTTTGAATCGTGCTTCTTTCTTTCTGTATTCATGCTGCAAAGTGAATAGCTACAAGGGCAGATATAACGATGATGGTCATAGGCTAACATGGATTGCGATCTTAGATTAAGGTTACTCCAATTACTTTGTTAAGGGACTTGAATTATCAGCCTCAATCCATCATGCTAGTCTGTTGGAGAATCACTGATTTGTATTATCAGTGCATTTACTTTATGCTTTTGAAGAGACAATTTCCACAATGGCAGTACTGAGATTATCCTCTGTTGTTGCAGCATCAGTAGTTAGCAAAAGGAAACGATATGACTTTCTTTCAGGTACTATTCATACATCCCACCTTCATATTCTCAACTACTATTATAGAGACTCCTCATGAAACGTCACTACTTTTTTTTTCCTCTCCAGATTTTGTCCCTGAAAAATTAAAATTTGAAGATGCATTAAAGGAGATAGGCATGGCAGAGTCGGGGAAAGACGAGGCGTCTTGATATTTCAACTCCATACTTCATCTTCTTCTTTGTATTTGTTATATTTAGTCATCTTTATTTTCCTCCGTACAGTTTGTTACCAAAGTTATTAACATAGTTTTTATTTTCTAATTCTTTTCTTTTCTAAGGGAAAAGAAAACTTAGGAACCTAATTATTTATTATTATTATTTTTTTTTTTTGTAATATTCAAAGTCACGACGAGTAGATATTGTCCTCTTTGAGGTTTCCCTTTCGAGCTTCCCTTTAGGCTTTAAAATGCGTTTGATAGGGGAAGGTTTCCATACCCGTGTTTTGTTCTCCTCCCCAACCAATGTGGGACTCTCACATTCCACCTCCTTCGGGACATTCCACCTCCTTCGGGGCCAGCGTTCTCGCTGGCATTTGTTATTTTATCCAATCGATGTAGGACTACCACCAAATCTACCCCTTTTGGATCCCAGTGTTCTTACTGACACATCACCTTATGTCTACCCCCTTTGGGAAATAACCTCCTCGTTGGCAATCGTTCGGTGTTTTGCTCTATATCATTTGTAACGGTTCAAGCTCACAGCTAGCAGATATTGTCCTCTTTGGACTTAGTTTTCCCTCAAGGTTTTAAAACGTGTTTAATAGGGGAAGAAGGTTTCTACACCCTTGGTGTTTTGTTCTTCCCCAACCAATGTGGAATTCTCACCTTATCATCTAATTGTTTGATGTTTCTATCATCTAATTGTTTGATGTTTCTATGCATGTTCTTAAAAACCAGAGAAACTACAAAATTTGTTTTCGTTTTCTTTCCCTGGGATTTCTAAATATTTCATAAGATAAATTCGAAATGGTTATAAAATGAGATAGAAAGAAACTTAGTTGCTCAAATATATTTCTAACTCCAATTTCATGCTCTCCAGAAACTAAAGGCAACAAAAAAATGAAAAATAATAAAAACAATAAAAAATGCATCCTTATAATTGACTTCTTCCTTGATACAGCCATAGTGAAAATGGGAGATGTTTTACAGTTTATCCAGCCACTGAAATAAAGAAATTGCACACGGCTGCAGATCTCGACATGTAGTATTGAAGTTGATGAATGAATAATGCCTCCATGTCACCTCGTAACTCATGGTCAGCCCATAATTCAATCATTTCCGCTCAATATACTGCAGAAAAACATGCCAAGCGTTGCCCAGATTTGCTATGTTTTGAATTTGATAGCCATTAATGAGAATTTTGCAGAATCAGAGAACTCACTTGTACAAGTAAGAAGCGATTCCAAGAATTATACAGAGAAGAATGATATCGATGCAGAAGTTTTGGCTGGATCTCACCTTCATTCAATTACAAAACCACAGTAAAAGGGTCTGTTTATTAACACAATGCTTGCTTTCTTTAACATTAATTACCTCATTAAGCGTTTGCTTGAGCCTAACATTGGTGTTTTTCATCTCATTGGTCACCTTGTCTACCTATAACAACGTCAAAAACAAGAGCTACCTGGGATATACTTATCATATGCATAATAGTTTCAAACCAAACAAAATTCTAAGTTATACCTTTGAGTCAATCTCGTCAATTAATGGAACTTGCCTATCCAATTCCTAAAAACAAGGATAAAACCCTTATTAGACGGCCCTAAACAGAGCTATTAACCACCCATTTATGTGTGCTTGTTTGTTTTTCCCTACTGACCTCATTCATATCATGGGCTAAATTTTTCAGCATATCCAACCCTTCAGATATGACATCCAGACCTTCGTCCTACAAAGATGAAGCAAACACAAATGATAAAACTAAGCATTTGTTTCTGGTTTCACAAAAAGTCTCATACCAATAGAGATATATTCTTTATTTATAAACTCATAATCATCCTCTAAATTAGCCCATGTGAACTCCAACCAACAATCCTAGACAAAGCATCAGTCCATTTATCTTTAATAATTTATGCGTTCTGTCTTAGAACTAATTCCAATGCAGAAAATAGTAAAGAAACTCACATGCCTGTTTCATCTTCCGCATATCATACTCCTGTCGAAATTGACTCGATTCTTCGCTTTGTTGGAAATACTCGCTCTCGAAGTGTCCATCTAAAGTGGGTCGTAAACAATCAAAGCCAAACAACAAAAATGAACAAACATATTTCAAGCTTCATTGAAATGGAGTCAAACCTGTTGTTGAATCAAACTTAATATTGTTAGATGAGGTGGAGGCCCATCCTCCAGATGGTTTGCCTGTCGTACTCCCATCTGGAATCGCTTTAATCCTCTCTTCAAGCGCAAGAACAAGATCACCTCTGACCTCAAGTTCTTCTTTCGGAACCCCTTTAATCTGAACCACATCCATGGCGATCAAAAAACGAAACGAGAGGAGAGAAATCCCTAGTATCAAATAAAACAAAGAGGGGGAAGACTTTGACCTTCTTGCGAGCCAATTTATGAAGCTTGGGAACTTCATCCATCAATCGGGCCTTCTTCCGTCGAACCTCAGCGTTCATCGCAACTGCAGCAGCCCTATTCTTCTCCGTACAGGCACTCTCATATTTCTAAAACCAAATCAATCTTCAATTAAAACAAAAGGATAGGTTATCAAAGAAGAAAACTAGACAATGGGGAGAATAAAAGGACTTAAACCTGGAGAGCGGCTTCGATTTCGAGTTCGACGGCGGCGTAGAGGCGAGCAAAAACATCATCACCATAAGCATTGAGCTCGCGCTGTTTCTCGACATCATACTTCTCGTATTTCTTGCAAATGGAATCGACTCGGAAGATGACATCGATTACGGTCATTTTGGCGTCGCAAGCAGATGCAGAAGAAGAAGAAGGGCTGGAGGAAGAAGAAGAAAGCAGAGATTTGGAGATAGAAATGGTCGGAAGATTGTTTGTTCTTCATTTGGGACATATCCATCAAACCCCTTCTCTTCTCGCACTCTGAGACGTCCAGCGTACAAAGCGGCTTCGAAGATGCAGGAGAAACAGATGGAACGCCCATTCCCCCCTAACTAACTCTCTTTAATCAATAAATAATAATATTCTATAAATAATAATATTCTAAAAATAATTAATTCATAAAATAATGTAAAAATAATTTAAACACTTTTTCAGAAATTATTTTCAATAAAAATGTTATTATTTCTTTGTATTCTTATTATTTATTTTGAAGATTTTCTAGTTATTTTAAGATAATCCAATTGTTTATTCAAAAAACATTCTAATTTTTTTAAATATATTCATTTTGTTAAAAAAAAATCATTTATTCCACTAAATTATTCCAAATATACTCTTCTTTTTTTTTTTTCTTCTAAATACCTTTCACCATTAGTACTTTTGATCTTATATTCTTCAGAGTATTTTAAATAATAAACTTGTTTGATTATGCTACATTAAAAACAATTCTATTCCTCTTAATTTATTTTTTTATTTTTTTTATTATATATTAGGAATATTTTTAATTCATTTTTAGATAATTCTCTATAAGTGTTTATTCAATTTTTTTTAATTAATTCATATTTTTTCAAGCACCTTTTCATCTCTTCTTCTTATTATTATTTTGAAAAAAAACTTATTGTTCACGTAAAAGCACTCGATAAGTTTAATTAATTTTGTTGAAAAATCATATAATTCCAAACACACTTAATTTATTTCATTAACTTGGAAAATTAAAAAAATTAAAAAAATTAAACTCAGCTTTCATGACTATTATGTTATTTAATATTTGTACATCACACTTGACTTAACAACTTGGTTATTATACAAATAATTTATTTTAGAATTATTGAAAATCTTGATAACAAGGTTATAAGGAAGAGGATCAAGACTCTAGATACTTTGAAAATTGGAAGTAAAATAAGATTTAAACTAGCTTAATTTTCTTTAATACTTGCTTTTAATTCCTTTAAATTAATTCACTATCACTATTAGAATTAATTAAACCAATTCTACCTCATAATATTTAAGCTAATTAACCGAACCCAACACAAGGACCAAAAGCAAGCATTAATGGTGAAAACTCAAGGATAAAAGTGAAAAATCCTAATAAATAAAAATTAACCAGACTAAAAATTTAGAACTAGAAAGAAAAGAGTTTGAATGTGAGGTTTTCTAGCATTAATATACCAGAGACGTTGATTTCAAATAAAGAGTTCGAACCATGAACACATTTCAAGTTCTTAAGAAAACACTTAAAAATCTATAGACTAAATTGAAACTAAATTCCAAAATCAAAACCATATCTTTTTTTTCTCCACTTTTCAACTTCCTAACAACTATTCTCAAAAATCTAAATTGGATTATGAAATTTCGTTCGCTTCCTTCACAGAAAGACAAATGAATAAGACTTCAGTTTCCAGACTATGAAATTTTCAAATAACATTTCTTCAAATTGCCACCATTCACTACAACAAACTTTCATTAGGCAACCTCTGTCTCAATCTGTCTAACATCCAGAGCTCCACCCAGCCCTCACAAAAAGAAAAAAAAAGAAGGAAGAACAAGAAGAAAATAACCACACAAGGAAGAAAATATTGTATCAAGGGCATTGTTTTTGTCTTCCAAGTAATAATTTCAGCCAAAAAAATGAAAAAGAAGTTTCCAAAAGTTTACAGCCAAGAATTCCTGTAAATGGAGCCCTCCAACGAGGAAATCAGATGCTTAGCAGCTCAATGATGATTGATTGAAGTCTTATTCAATAGATAATGTTTCCTTAGTCCATCCAAAATGTACTACTCCACATAGAATACTTAAATCTTCACTCAAAATCTTGCATGTTGTGCGATGTGGAGCATATTTTATCCACATCCTCTAAATACTCTACGGTGTGAACAAAGATACCTTCATGTGCACTTTCCACTTTACCCACTTCTAAAAAGGCAATGATAAAAGAGGCAAAAACCACAAATCGAAACAAGCTTTGTGTAATGGAGTGTGATTCCATCTTCTCAACTTTAATCGTGAGTAGAAAAGATTGTCAATGACACTTCCCAAGCACAACTAAACATCAGCTTTATCAAACGAAAATCTAATCTGTGAATATCACTCAGAAAGCGGACATGATCCATAAGCGATCCGCAATTGTTAATAAAGAATATAGCCCCAAGTATAGAACCTCCACTCATCCAAAATAAAATCTATAAG